ACGTATTCTTACGATCCGCGACAGAGTATTTCATCTCATTTCCAGTAGAGTACCTTTACAAAGAGTGCATGGACAGTCCATGGGTTCAATGGAACTCCTTGGGAACCAAAAAGATGGACCAGTGGGCAAGGTACTAATTTAGAGTTTTGGAGGGATCCTATTGGTGGAAGCGGATGGTTGTAATGGGCAAAGAAGGTAGATTTCAACCAATATAATCGCTATATACCTCCTATGTCTTCCTTGTATATGAGTTTAGATAATTAGTCCACTGGAGTGCCCATACTCTCTCCCAAAAAGTACTCTATAAAGGTACTTTTAAGTTTCTCTACGTCAGCTTTTGTGTGCAAAAACTTGTCAAACCACAACGTGCTGTGAGGTTCGGGAATTTCTTTAAACATGTTATAAAATGGACCACTGGACAAGATATGTGTACTGTATATGCTCATAAATTGTTAATATTCGTCCAAAAGACGTCTAAAAATTGTCTGTGTGATAAAAAATCAACGAACTGTATTCTCAACCGTGTAAAAAGGGCCTTATCATTTCATGTTCAGCAAAACAGAGTAGATGCAATGTTCTGCAAGCATTTAAGGTCACGTGTTGGACTTAAAACACAGACTCAGGTGAGAAGTTGGCAAAACAGGGTCTAATTTAGCTGAAAACAGCGGAATAGTTTGAATTAGAACTATTTATTGAATCATAGAATTTTCAAAATCATTCATTCAAAATAGGTGTTTGCGTTTGGTGCTAAATTTTACTCAAAAATCAAAATGGCCCGGAGAACGAATTTTCATGCTTGGTAATTATGAGACACAGACTAAGAAGCCTGCTGTCACGAGAAAATTTTCCTAGTAGGCGAGACGAATGTAATAGCACCGGAATTTTTTCCTCTCATATTATTCAGAATTTAATAAAATTATAAACTCGTTTAGGAAATCATATGATTGCAACTTTTTTTAAACGTGTGAAATGATCGTCGTATTTTCAAAAACTTTTCAGTGCTCCAATGAAGTTATTAAAACATGATTAATCATTTTTTGTTGTATTTATCGTCTCTGTAACCATCAATTGATTAATTAAATGAAATTACAAAGGTAAATATGCGGTAACTTTTGAATGAGGCCTCCTGAGTGAACTTATTGTTGATATTACAATTAGCTCGATTTTTAATTTGTACAACTACTAGGAAAAACATGAGTTGAAATCCCTGGTAAAAATTGGCTATAAGAGCTGCGTTTCAAAATACCATAGGAATTCTTATAGCCGGCTAAAGAAAGCTTCAGAAAATCATATAGCTGGCTGTAGAATGCGGAGAAAATCATACGGCGGGCTATACGAAGCGATAAAAAATTATGCAGCCGGCCAAAGTTCCTATCGCCGGGCTTTACACTTTATCGCCTGGCTGTTGCTTTTTCGCCATCGATTATAAAAGGCTATAAGAAATTTTGTAGAAATTCGTGTACTTTGGAAATCATTAAGTTTGATACGGAACCACGTTAATATTTACAAAACACACATTATATTTTCCTTTAATACATATTGTTTTTCATCAATTAAAATGAGAATAATCCATACATGATGTGCAAACATTTCAAAATCATGAGTTGAATAACGCTGACTCCGCCAGATTAAATATTAGAGCTTAACACAAAGCGGAGCGGCAACTCACTGGCGCCTACAAACCTAACAGGGATACTTCACGCATTGCGCAACGCGTGAAGTATCCCTGTTAGGTTTGTAGGCGCCAATGCGTGTTCCGCGCTGGCTGCCCGCCTGCCACGGCGTTTGAAGCAACTATTTCACACCAGAGGTATTGCACAGTATCATACGAAACTGAAGGCGCTCTAATATATTAGTAATGACAGGCATCCATCAAAAGCACGGAGCATTCCTCGCAAAATAAATCAAGATACTACGTCCCAAAAAGAGAGCAGTATTCCAAAAACTCACTCAGTCCTAGCATCCGTAATTAGTAACGTTTAGCATATACTGTATCGCCTGGCTGTTGCTTAATCGCCATCGGCTATAAAAGGCTATAAGAAATTGTGTAGCCGGCTACAGAAGCTTTCGGAAATCTTACTGCCGACTGTAGGTCTATGGTATTTTGGAACACGGATTCTACTGCCAATTTTTACCAGGGATTGGAAATGTCTTACGACATCACACGGTGGCAAAAATTTAGTCAATGTTTAGTAGATTTCTCTCAAATTTTTTTCACCGAAAAAATGGATTGCTGATTTAACAATTGAAAAATACGTCATTGTTAAAAAAATACGTTCGACATGTTTCAAATGTACATTTTACAATTGTAGAAAAGCTACTCTAATAAGGGTTTCAAATCAGCATTCTTTTCTTGTAAAATTAGTTAGACCTACATTGAAACATGTTCGACACTTTTTCAACTACAAAATTGTTAAATCAGCAATATAATTTTTTTCCGTGTACATCATTAAAAGACAAAGACAATTTACTACGAACTCAGTTCATCAAACACTAAAATTCGCGGTAGAAAAATTTTCTGGCGCAAACTGAAGCGTTGGATACAAAAAGGAATTTATTGGTTTTCGTAACTTAGGAGTTCCGTTAACGTTTGATCCACTATAATTGAAGGAAATGCTTGGAATTCATTAAAACTTTTACTGAATTTTCTTTGCAATTTCAGTATTCTGAAAACTAAAAAATTCACCAGATAGTTTTCGCTCTTAAGTATAAATTAGCAATGGAGATTCCAAAACACCGCAACCAAGAAATGCCCTTTCTGCAGCCAATACCTTAGTTACTCATTCTGCCTCGCGAAGGAAGAACGCCCCTATGAGCCTTCAAACGTTGCCATATTTTCTTCAATGAAAACCCAATTTACTAGGAAAATTGTGGATATTGTCCTTCAATTTTTCCAGAAAATTTCGTTCGCAATTTATCCACAACGTCTGAAAATTTCAAAGACAAAAATGAGTAATTTCTTTCCAAAATGAACGTTTTATCCGAGGCAATTTGACAAATTTTGAATTTTCATACGGCGTTTTTCCTTAGTAAGGGTGTGCTGATCCAGCTCGACGCTTTTACTTAAATTTTTACAATACTGAATTTTTTCTCTTTTTTCTCGATCATAAGCACGGCGGTCGACCCGCGCGATGAGTGCGAAATATGAGTTCTGATGAAACATTAAACTAAGTGCTTCACACATCAAAAAAGAGATTGTAATTGATTTGGTAGCACCGCCCACGTTGGCTCCTCCCTCTTGGCAAAAGCTCCGCCTAAAAACGAGCGGGCAACTTTAAGGACCTTCAACGGCCCTGTCCACAGTTTGAGAGCCTAATCCTTGGAACGTAATCGGAGGCAATCCACTGCTTGAGTCATCATTAATCAATGCCTGTTGCTTGTGACCTAGCCCACGGTGCATTTACTTGCCGCGGCAATAGCGTTCGTGCACATGCAATGCTCTAGTCACCGTTTTCCCTTTGGAATGCGCCCGGACTCGCGGAGATTTGCCCCGCGGCTTTCATTCAATGGTTCTCATGCCAAAAGCGGTGTGATAGTTCAGAAAAACACAAAAACGCGAGTCTGACGCGGCCTTCTGACTTTTGTTGCTTTAATGGTGCACATATTTGGTGACCCTGTCCCATTACATTAAAAAAAAAAAAAAAAAAAAAAAAAAAAAAAAAAAAAATGAAAATGAAAAAAGTTTTTTGTCGTTACCTAGACAAAAAAGGTTAATACGGTTAATTCGTTGCTATGTTTTGACTTGCAAAATTAATGTATACTAGAAGACAATGAGGCATTACTATCTGAAAACTCTCCAGGTATTATTTCTAACTACTCAAAGAAAATTAGCAAAACTTCGGACAGAATGTGTTGAGTCATACTTTAGTAAAATACCGCAAATTTTATGTCAGTTTTTCAATTTTGAAATGAAATTACGTATATTTTTCTGAAAAACGACGACTTGTGTCAAAATAATTACAAATAAATCATGCAAGCAGTGCTGCTAATTTCTCGGTTTTGAATCTTTTGGTCTCACAAAACCGCCGATCAATTGAACTTCATTTCACAGCGAGGAACCATTAGTACCGCCTCATCCATAAATACATTTATCTGCTTACGAAATTAAGCTAATGATATACGCTGTTTCTTTGATAAACTAGACGTCTCTGTTCTTTGTTGCGTAGTAGAATCCATTTACGTAGCGCAGAAATTCGGAGTTGAAAATCTCGCCACCCCGTCATAAGTTCCTGACGCATCCTTTTCACAGGTCTACTCTCCACCCTCTGACATGTGTGACATATTTTGCAAGGCAGTTTTATCTAGGAAAATTCCGCAAATTTTCTTTTTTTGTTTTTGAAAATGTATCCAAACCAACCAAAAAATTTCAAAAAAATGGCGCCTCACGCCGAATTTGCTCGGCGGCGCAATCCACGCCGTCCCCTTCCCGTCACGCACTCGCAAACCTCCGCATAAAATACGTTACGTGATTCATGGACAGCCTCTGAGGCAGTGGCGGGGCGTGCTCTGCGATTGATCGATTTATCTGCCATTCAAACCTATGGAAAAAGATCGATGTACAGGGTGTTCACAGCGAATACCTTAATAATCGATTCTTGGCCATAGCTTCAGATCGATAATCGACCATTCACGCCTCGCCACAGCCTTGAGGTCCCTCTTTTCATAGCAGAAAAGCACTGGCAATGGTGGCAGCTTTTACTTTTGGGACTTCAACATTCGACTGTTAACCTACCCACTTAACTATACAACGTGTTGGCAATTTCGTTTTGCAAACTTACCGAAGTTTGGGAAACTTATTTAGTTCATGACGTCACCCGAAGCTCATCATCCACCGAAAAAAGAATGATGAATGTTGCGCCTTTTCAACTGTCCATAAGGAAGTGTTGAATCCCCGAAAGCAAAAGCTTCCACCTGTCGCCAAGAGGCCAGTGGAGGGTCTCCTGTCTCTGTCTTAGTGTCTCATAGATGGTCATTTTCTTGTATGATGCAACATGGCTTACCTTATTGAGGAAGGAGCGACGAAAACTATCCTTGGTGAACTTGGTGCTGACACCTTCGATTTCCAAAAACTGGGCACACTGTCGCAGGAGCATGGATCGCAGTCTTTCCCGCATGCTTTCCTCTTCCATGGACGACATTTTCAACCTGGCCGGTGGCGGAGGCACAGTCGCGATCGTTCCCGGGGTCGAACTCGATCTCCTCTTCGCCAGAGAACCCGTTTCCGGTTTTTTCGCCCCCGATTCCGCCCCCTCACCGGAAACGCTCGCTGCGGGCATCGCCGTTTCCGCTTTCATCGATGCCGTTTCCGGTTTCATCGACGACGTTTCCGGTTTCATCGACGGCGTTTCCGGTTTCGACGATGACGTTTCCGGTTTCATCGACGGCGTTTCCGGTGTTTTCGGACGAACTGGATTTTTCGATTCTTCGGCATTTCCGGCAATAGTCACAGCGCGAGTCGTTTCCGGTTCGATAGCGTCGTCACTGAGAGTGTACTTGCTCTCTTTGCTGGCCCACTGGGAGGTGATGTCGCGGAGGAGCCCGAGGGATTTGCGACGCACTTCGATTTCCGTTTCCGGTTTGGCGGCGCTCACTTCCGGTGGCTGCGACGACAGCCGCCGCTCACTCCTCCGACGCGTCGCCTCGTCCACCTGGTCTGTCCCCTCCATCTCAGTTCACCGGGGGGAGGTTTCGCATGAAAAGAAATCCGAGTTGTGCCCGCTTGAAAATCCGAGTTTGTATTCGAGAACTTCAACTAACACTCACGCACATTGATGTGTGACACACTTTGATCAAAAATGAGGAGCTGGAGGGAGTGGGATTCGATTCAGAAAAAGGATTATTACAGTGAAAAAGTTGTCAACGAATGACACGCTCGTATTCTGCCGCGCTAAGGAAGAACGTCGTACGAATATTCAAGAGTTGCCAAATTGCCTCGAATAAAAAATATTTGTTGAGAAAATTTATGCGTGTTTTTCCTTGAAATTTTCAGACATTTTATGCGAAATTGCGAAGAAAATCGTCTGAAAAAACTGAAGAAAAAATTCAATATTCTCCCAGTAAATTAAGGTTTTATTGAGGGAAATTTGGCAACGTCTGAAGGCTCATACGGCGTTTCTCCTTGGCACGGTAGTATTGATGAGTGACGTAAGGTGACGAAGGAGATGAGTGACAGGGCAAAAGAGGATTTAGTGATTAAAGAGTTTCGAGAAAATAAATATCACTGTGAAAAATATTGTCAGCTATTAGCTTATGGCAAGCTTATTGATTTCATATCGACACAAAATCATCGTGAACATGAAGCTTAGCGTTGAAGAAGATTGATTAGTTAGTGAGTAATTCTGAGAAAGGAGAAATTACAGGGGAAAAAATCATCACGCGCTGACATTCAGTCATACAATCATCCATCAGTATCATCTTATGAAAATTAAATTCTACTCGTATTTATAAGGAAGAAGGCAATAATTTAAAAAAAATTGATAAATTGAAAAAAATTACTAATTATTTTTAAAACTAGTTTGATTCATCTCCGAGGTATTAACTCAGGTATTATTAAAGTGAACTCTATCATTTTTTTGGTCTCATTCATATTTTCTTTTTATTATGAAACATTTTGATGAATCATAGAGATGCCATTGTTAAGAGATTGGCATTTTAAACGAAACATGAATGTACTATCAAAGGAACAATGTCATGAGGGATAAATTACCGAAAGTTCCAATGAAAGACGCAGGTATACTTAATTGCTTGAAATTCAAAGTCATGAAGTCAACAAAAAAAAGAAGGTAATTTGTTTCCAATCGTTTATATTGATGAAAAATTTCAAGAGCACATCTGAGTCTCATTTGAACATTGAAAATCAGAAATGTTCAATCGGAAGTTGGCTTTATGGGGCAGACGCAAAGTCAGACACAGGAAAATAATTCGCTCTCTCGTAATGCTGCGGCATGAATGAGAGACATATCGACGGTGAAAGTACCAAACCACGTATCTCGTTTGCGGTGTTTAAAAATCTACGCTCACATTTTATTTTTTTGAAGTAGACCAAATCAATATCGTTCCTTGAAATTTTCACAGAATTTTCTCCGCACAAAGAGGAAAAATCACAGAAATTTTCAAGACTGGACGTTAAGTAGTTTTTCATTTAAAAAATAAAGTATGACAGGAAGTCTGCGACGTCGCAAACCGAGATACGTGGTTTGGTAGTTTCACCGTCGATATGGAGGAGTAAATACTGGTACATTTTCCTCTAATTTTTTTTGCTCCAAACATTTACGTCGTACGTCATTAAAAGAAGCGCCAGATTCTTTGAAATCCATCAACGAGGTGCCAAAAGAGACCCGATTCGTTTTGTAACTTTAACCGGCATGAAAATAGTCAAACTTCTCCTCTCATCCTAAGCCTTGAAGTATGCCACGTCTCGAATTGGTAAACGCGTAATATTCTCGAAGAAATTCACTTTTTTTCAGAACTTTGAGCGTCAGACATTCTTGCCTCATCGTGGAGCGAATGTCAATTGGGTTTTACGCTCAAGAATGGAATTCGGCTCACGGTCACAATTTGAGCGCTCTCGCCCGATTTATGGTGGGAATAGATTTATTAAGAAAGTTATGACAAATATCGAGAACACTAACCCGGATAATCAGGTGAGGCGGTAGATATTTTGATTGGCCCATAAATGAAAACGCATCCCACGAACTCATTCTCACGAGTTGAGTGAAACTTTAGGACAATTTTGTATCGGAGATTATTATACCCTCACTAACTTTTTGTTCGAAGTATTTGTTCTTGTATCGGTCAAAAAGAATAAACTTTGAATAATTGTCCATCAATTAAGTTACAATATGAAGTCAAAGGAAATTCGTGTAAATGATCAAAGAGATGTCCATGTATAATCAGTGGAGAATTTAGAATTGAAGAGCATACCGTTAAATAATTTAGAGGCGTAGGTAGGTACATGTCAAAATAGAGATAATTTTTAAAATTTTGCGCAGAAAATATTCAAAAGATATTTTTTCACGCATCAATTTCTCATTTTCAGCATCTAATAAGCTCTTTCGCTCATTTTTCTTCAAAGCGACACGTCCAAGTGTGATTTTTCAACTTTTCAGGAAAATTGTAACATGGGTTGTTCATCTAAAAGTTACACTGCTAGTCGAGAAATAGGGAAAATGTGTGAATTCTGACATAGATGAAAAAAAAAACAGGCGTTTTTGCCATTGTTCCATGAGTTTCACAAGTCACGTTTTAAAACACATTAACGTTCAGCTACTTTTTCGGCGTTCCACGACACATCTCCTGTATACGACCATTACATTTTAACCGGGTGACTTAAACAAAAAACTCTTCAAAATGACAGCTTATCATAAGTTTAGAAATATACGCAAATGTAATGGAAATACTGTGAGAAGGCTTTTTCTGGTGGTATTCAGGAAAAAATCAAAGCGGAATCTGAGGAGTAAGAGGTCGTAAATGCTTCAAATCGAATACACTTTATTTTAGCCTTTGGTGCGAAAACCAAAACTTGATTTTTCAGGGCACTGATTGAAGGGATTAGACACCAGCGCATTATCAATAATGAGACAAATATTTTCTGTGTCCACCTTTATGTCGTCTAAAAGGTTACGCATACTTGAAAATAATGATCAATGATGATAACTTTCTAAGGTATTCTTTGCTGTAAGCTGATAAATGATTGCATGATAAAATTGTAAATAAAATTTGACATGTAGCATGACTAAATGTGATACGAAACAAGCGGCGGAAGATCATAATGCACAATGAAAAAGATATAAATTAGTTTGAATGATTGACACTCGAAGCGATGGGACGGCAAATATTAAATACTCACGAAAAGTATAGCAAACAGTTTTAAGGATGAATCTAAATTTTTTGGGGAATTAACGGAGTGATAAGTTGCTGATTTGATGAATGATGATAGGTAGATTATTTACCAGGCGCATTGATGAATGTCCTTAATTCTGAGTAGCATTGATCAAAATCGTCGAGCGCCCTAAGTCGATTAAATCATAATTTGAAAAAACCCAAGCCGTGTGGGACACGCGAAACAAACCACTTAAGCACTACAAAATGCCTTAAATCACTGGATGATATTTGGTGAGAGAAAAATTACAACATGAATAATTGATGAATGTATGAGTGAACGGACTAAAAACGTTTTGAGTAATTAGGTGATAATTGAATGAGACGTTGATTGGCTTAGCGAACTGGGTGGTTAGGATTAAATGAGGAATGCACATGAAATGCGAAGAGAAATCTAATTGTACGTTTAAGTCGTATACAGACTGGGGAAGAAGAAAAGGTAGGTAAATGGGAGAAAAATGTGTGGAATTTAGAAAAAAGGAAGCAAAGACGAGGAGAAAAGGAAAGACAAAGGGGAGGGAAAAAATAGGAGAGGAAGAAATTAAGAATAAAAGGGAAAGATGATGGGTTGAAAGGGAGAAATTAAAAGCAAAAGTTTTAAGAAAATTGAAAAAAGAAAGGAAAAGGGAGTAAAAGAAAAGCAAAACGGCGATAAAGGAAGATCAAAAGAGGAGGAAAGGGGAAGCAAGATCTTAATAGAGGAAAAGGAGGAGGGAAATAGGGGGAATGAGGGGGGAAAGGTAGAAAAAGGGAAAGAAAACGAAAGGAAAAAGGAGGCAAAACGCCACACGATATGAGCAAAAAAGAGGAAAGAAGCGAAGAAAAGGGGAGGAAAAGTGAGGGAGAGAGGAGAAAAACAGTATGAAAAGAGAAGGAAAAGAGGTGGGAAAGAGGAAGGAAGGGGGAGGAAATAAAAAGGAAAAGAGGTGAAAATGAAAGGAATATAGGAGAAAAAAGGAAGGAAAGGGGAAGGAAAGGGAAAGGAGAGGGGGATGAAAGGGGGTGAAAGGGGGAGGAAAAGGGGAGAAAATTAGAAAAAAAAAGAAAGACGAAATGAGGATGGTACGAGGGAGGAGGGAGAAGAGAGGGTTGAAAAAGGATGAAAATAGGGGAGTAAAACCCACGAACGTTATCCGAAAGAGCAGGATGAGCGGATGCCCAAGACGCACATGAGACAAGACCACGTTCTGACTGATGTAGGAGGTCGAGGGCTCCAGCGGCAGCGGCAGCGGCTGAGCCCAGAAGGATCTCCTCGACGAGGAGTCGCTCTCGAGTTACGTCACGAGCCAGCGTTCGCTCTTATTCGCGGTCCATTCAGCCTCAGACATCCACTCGCTCCCTCGCGCATCTCACGGGGAGCCCCGTGCCCCGACCACGGCGCCCCCAAGGACCCCGCACGGGCACGCACTTGACGCCATAGCGGCCCCGGCCCCCACCCCCGCCCCCACCCCAGAGACAGTGGACCGCGACCTCCGCACGAAAAATTCACTTTCATCGCTCCAGTTTCCCCGCTCAGGCTCCCGGCCGGGCCGCCTGGAGCTGGCCTTCCTCCCCGCGCCCCGCTTATTGTGACGTCACCCTCCGGATTATCCTTTATGTCCAATTGGATGCGAACGGTAAATTTTCTACGTATCGCAGGGATGTCTGATGTGAATACTTTTCTGCGTTTAAAATTTCCCGAGATTAAAGATGGTGTCACTAGTTTTCTCGGAAACGAATTCCCCAACTCAAAAAAAAGCTCTCAAAGTTGAGGCCAGTGGCGGATCTAGGAGGGGGGTGTTCCACATGCCTACTCAACCTCTCGGGCGAAAAAAAAGGTGAAAAGGGGGGAAGGGAGAAAGAAAAAACAAAAACAAGTGCTCCTAAAAATTTACCGAAATGTTTCAAGACAGAACTATCGGACGAAAGTTTATTATAAGCCGGCGGTTAATCAGTATTATAGAGATAAATAGTCCATACACTAAAATAAAAATTACTCTTAAGGAGGCATATTCGTCAGTTTTCAACTTTCAAATAATGCACAAATTGTATGCTAAACCTGCTTAAAATTCAATCTAGGAGGGGCTATTTTTCTAAAACTATTTGGGGGACGTCCCCCGGACCTCCCTTGCTCTGGAGGGTGTCCCCCAGAGCACTCGATATTAGCGCATGGCCCTTGTCTCCGACCCACTCTGAATCCGCCACTGGTTAAGGCTGTAATGGGAGGATCGCCTTTAAGCCACGCTGAAAGTTCACGTCTATATCCAGTCAAACTCTCAATGCACAGATAGGGAGAAAATACATCAGCAAGCTCGCCGCACTGTTTGGGGACTCCAAGCATGCTGGAACCACGGCAACCTGATAATGTGTTTGCACCTTATCTGGAAATGGAGAATTGAACTATATATAGAGGTACACTCACACCATAATCCATGGATCCTCTCCATTAAGGTTTCAACTTTGAGAGCTTTTTTGGGCTTGAGATTTCGGTTCAGAAAAAACCAGTGATACCATCGTGTGTCTCACAAAATTTTACCTAAGAAGAAGTACTGAAATTGTATATCCCTGACGCATGCATGAGCTTCATCACAGTAGCATAACATCTTCTGTGCCATCAATGTCTACGTATTTCTAAGGGGAAAAACACTAAAAGTGACCAGAAGACTGTATGTAACAAGGTGGAGAAATGGTGTGGACCCAGCACCATGTCTCCACTTTGTTACGCATTTCTAAGCTTGGCAGCAAAATGTCACTCAAAAGGTGACAATTGCTGAATATCTCTCATTTTGACGGAGAGTTAAATAACAATTGAGGGTCTTGGATGATAATGGTCATAAAAGATTTATTTTTCTATTTCAATAAGTACGTGTTTGAATTTTCAAAATTATATGGATCCTTACGGCGGAAAGGAAGTTCGAACTGACTTTTTGATGCAAATAAATTGGAATTTGGGAGAGAGATTTCACAGAATATGCATTAAGGTAGGTTTTACTTAAAACCATTAATGCCTCAACTTTTTCAATAACTGCACCTATCCGCCTTGTCCTCCAAGCCCCTCAATTACGAAATTATTCAACCCTTTTTTGGTTGCATGTTTTTCTGAATGCTACGAATAAAATCGCGAAAAAAATGTACCACTTACTATTCCACCTGTTAATTTCAGCTTGGACCAATTATAATAGTCAACAGAGGAACTGACGGAGATTTTGTATTCAAAGTCTAAACCAAGGAGCCTGCTTGATGGGAACAGATGAGCAAAGTGTTGTCAGCCAAACAGGAATCTGTAGAAAACCCGTTGGATCAGCCGTTTGAGCACGTCTCTTATCGATCATCCAAAGCAGTCAGCAAGGGCTTCTCGAAAGATTCAGATTCCTCGAATGGCAGAGTAGCTAGCTCCATGCTACCGGTGATTTGTCTTCGTAGTGTTTTATTTGGACGTATTTATGCTAAAAGGAACTAAGTCGTACGCAAGCCCTATGCACATTGTTCCTTTTAGCATAAATGCGTCCATTTCTAACTTGGAGGCAAAATTAAAAAAAAAAAATAGTGTATTTCCTTCGGAAAATACACTAAAAATTATCAGGGCAATGGGGACAAGATTCTTTTTTAACTAAACTGAGAGATTGTAGTCGGAGAGAAGTGAATTTCACCTGCATGTTACACTCGTATGTTCAAGAATTATTTACCAAAACACTTTAATAGAAAGCTAGAAAGAGCGTCAGTTGAAACTGAGGGAAATACATGTTCATATACAAATATGACGTAAAGCTCATTAATCGTGCTCAAAAAGTCAAAACTAATCTTTTGAGTGGTATGTTAGCATTCTTACATCCAACCACATCCGAACATGCTGCTCTTGAAGAATCTGAAATCAGCGAAAGTTGAAAAAAATTTAGACGTCTGAAATACTTGCAACTTCAACGCATGTGAATTCTTAGTTTAGCACTTTTGAATGACAATTTAGCACGTTGAAAAAATACTTGTTTGGAAAATTTCTATTAAACGGAACGATGTGCATTAAGACATGAGCCCTGATACCCGTAAGAATACTTGTATAACGGGGCTCACTTCATATTGCACATAGGTCTGTTTGACAGAAATACGTCCTATTGCAAACCGCTCTTAAATAAATCCAGAGCTCAAGCTGGCTTGAGGAAATTTCGGTTAGCAGCAAATAGGGAGCTTAAATCGATATCGAAGTAAGGGGAATGCTAATTTTAATAGAAGAAAAATATGCCAAGGTTTATGAGACATTTTCGCTTTTGCACATTGGTCTATTAACTTGAACGCAATTAAATTACTTTCTCCCCGTGACCCCCGGCAATCATCACTACAAATCCTTGCAAGGAAGATCCGAACGCCTTCAATATTTGGTATATGCATCACGCGCATTCAATGAACACGAATAGTTGCTTCCAAGCGCTACTCAAGGCGTCATGCGGTCCTGTCCTGTAATCTACATTAATAGCTGGTGTATCTTCGTTCTAATTTCATGTTTTCACGTGTTGGTTAAATTATCCTCATTTTACATTTTATTCTTTGCTGTGTTGCAAAGAGTCAAGTGTGGAAACTTTTGAGGTCAGTATCTTTTGAAGCATATGTAAACAATGGGATTTGCTCTAGCGTCCGCCTCATAGTTTAGGATGAAAAGACTCAAAAAATTCTGGGATACATGTTTTCAACGTCTCTAGAATATTTAAATTGTTTTTTTTCTGTTCTGAACTTGCCTCTTTTTTCACTAACATTATTTTAAAACTCAAACTGAGAAAATAAAATTCATCAGAACTATATAAAGTATGCTAAATGCTACCAAAGTTATGAGGTCTTTCAGATGTGTTTTACTGTTATCATTGAGTGAACTGTTTTAAATAATGTTTTGCACGGAATTTGTGAGGCTTTTAGTCATGTCAAGTAATAAATGAAAATTTGCCTTTATTTTGACGAAATGTGCATTTTTATTAGAATTTGTAAATATTATTTTTTTCTCAAAAATGTTCACTACCAATTTTCATAAGCACACTTGGCACTTACTGAAAAAAATATTTCACACATTTTCTGGATGTAAATATTTTATGAAGAGAGGATTGGCGACATTTGTATCTCTCATTTTTTTATCTTTTATTATTTTTACTGGGAGGCTCCGCCCCCTGGCCGCTATGCGGCCAAACCTCCTTGGCGCTGCGCGCCCGCAAAGGCCGCTTCTTACACTCCCTCCTCGCCCTGTCAATCGAGTGTCTTAAAAATTATTTTATTAGAATAGGGAGATTTATTTCTTTTTTTTAGCACGGCAGTATCCTTCAGAATTCACTGCAAAGTTTATTCGAAGCTTAATGCAGTATTCCTAAAACTGTCCAGAGAGAAATTCATACCCATTCTCATACATAAATATCTTATCGCGGAAAATTTCACGGCATTCATCCTCACCTCGGCAATAATGTTGCTTGCATGAGTTTTAGCACGCATCATGTGCTGTCGTCATCAAATTTGAAAAAAAAAACTCAATCAAAGGTAACAACACTTCAGACGAGAGAATTTTCTTCAAGGTTATTATCAGAGATGTAGACACTTTTTTCTCAGATTCTGTCGTTGCTCCCCTCTTTCGACCATCCTCCATAAAATCTGACAAAAGAGATCAGAACCTGATGTCAAGCTCGATGCGACTAAACCTGACCTAAACTTAAACCCCCAGGGAGAAAAATCTATGGCTTATGAGGCAATCAGTGGTTCATTTGAAACACATCGAGTATAGTGAAGGCAACATATAATAACAGGGCATATACCTTACCATATATACCCTTGGTATGTATATCATTCTATGGTGCGAGCTACCACAGTATGGTTCATAGACCGATAATAATTAGTTCATATGCAACTATTAATGGTGTTCCATGTGAACCACTAATCGGTTATAAGCCATAACTTTTACTCGGTGTAAACCTTATAATATCCACCCACTCCTTCATACTGGGCAAAAATGTCGCGCGGACATTGGAGCGTTGTCAAATTCCTCCTGATAAAAAATCCATGTTTGAGAAGAGTTATATTCATGTTTTTCTTTGAAATGTTTGAATACTTCAGATTGCATTTTGCATACAATTTCCAAAAAAAATTGTAAAAAACGTTGACATATTTCCCAGGAAATTTTTAATTTATAAACAAAAAAATTGCGTTTTTCGAAGGCTTATACGGCGCTATTTCATAGCT